TCCATACATTGTACATCCAACAACCCACACAGCTCTAGTTTACGCTGGTAACGACCTAGAGCACACCCAGAGATGTAATCCGAAGACATGCAGCGATTTCTTCGGTCGTTAATTCAGAAAAAAAACCGAGTGTGCTCTGCCTGGCTATGTTAGCTAGCTGTTTATATTAGCACCTCCAGGATTTTTGCACCTCCAGAAAAATGGCGTATATATATATATATATATATGGCACGCGTTGCATTGTGGGTAGCTCGTGACGTCACTGTGCGTGAAAGAATTAGCCATAGCCGCGGGAAGTCATTTTACTTAGGGGGTGCGGCGAATTATCAAGGGAGGCGGGGGTGGGGGGTGCTCGTGAATTGTCAACGGGGGTGGGGGGGTGCCTCGCTGCGGGACACGGTGGACCCCCAGCACCCCTACTTCCCGCGGCTATGCTGTTAGCTAACGATTCAAACAGTTTATCTGTTACTTACAGTAAGGCAAACTATTGTTATTGTTTATCTGTTACTTTTAGCTAACAACAATTTTCGACCATTTGTTACTTCTAGCTTACTGATTTTCGTTTAGCTAATACTATGAGCTAACGATTTGCGTACTCTTCTTTACCTTGCTAACGTGTTTACACAAAGTACACTCAAGCTCAGCGTCACAGCAAGTCGTAACTCAACTTAAAAGATAGCAAGGTTCATTTAATCAATAAGAGGTTGAATACGTGTCCTCTGGGCTACATTAAAGGCTAACCCTGGTGTGAAATCACTGCCTACAAATAAGCCTACAAAATCTCTCTTTCTGTCATAAAGAGTTTCTTATTTGCTTGCGTACAGATTTACCAGGTCAGCAGAACAACACACCCATAAGACTCCAGCAGGCAGAGATGAACGTCTGTGAATGAGTGAACTGTGTGACTGTTTGCCAGCTGAGATCCAGCCTAAAGGCCCGACAGCAGTGACCCAGCCCTGTCAAATGAGAACGAAAACAAGGGTACACAGAGAGCAGCGATGGCCGGCTTTGTCCTCTCTCCGTTTCCCCGAATAGCTCTCACACAAAGGATATCGTTATTCCTCCTCTAATTACCAGATGGAGAGCTATTTTTCTGCCTCCCGCTCCTCTGCTCTCACCCCCAGAAAATAAAGTGCTCTGTGGTGACGACCCTCAGCGCTTATGAAACGGTCTGATGGACAACAGGGACCACATTTCCTCCTTCAAACGTTCCGTAGGAATCTGTGGGAGCATCTGTTACGTTTACTTTAGATAACTGTTTATTATACCATTAAGTACTTTAAGCTAACTATTTAAACCATTTGTTCCTTACTAGATAACTGGGTTTATCCTTTGCTTTAAGGTACTTTAACAGTTTATCCGTTACTTTCAGCATTTAAAAAAACGTTTTATCTGTGACTTTAGGCTAACTATTTCATTTCCGTTACTTTTAGATTACTTACTAAAGGTTCATTCCTTAAGATACTTTAAGCTAACGTTGTTACCTGTTTTTCCGTAACTTTTAGCTAACTCTTTTAGCTAACGATGTTACCTCTATACCTGTATCTCTTAGCTAACCAGTTTACCTGTTAGGCAGTTATTGAGCTAGTGACTTATCCGACCGGCTCTCATCGTCCGACCGGGCCACTACAGTACCGGCCCATCGGGTCCCGATGGCCAGTCCGCCACTGCTTTAGGTAACTATTTTAGCTGATTAGTGGTAACTTAAAGCTAACTATTTCAACCATTTAATATTTCCTTTCAGCTAACTATTTTAGCTGTTTATCTATTTCTTTAAGATAACTACTTCAGAGTTAATCTGTTATTTTCAGCTAAGTATGTTAACATACATAACGTCCTTTTGGCAACATCAACCCTTAGGCTAACGATGTTACCTCTATATCCGTATCTCTTAGCTAACCAGTTTACCTGGTTGGCAGTTATTTGTAGCTAACTATTTTTATTGTTTACCCGTAACTTTGTATCTGTTACTTTAGGCTAACTATTTTATTCACATAACTTGTAGATTACTATTATACCATTCAACCCTTAAGCTAGTTTAAGCTAACGTTGTATCCCTCACTTAAAGATAACTATTTTAACTGTTTAATATTTCACAACTTTAGCTAACTATTTTAGCTGTTAATTCTTAGCTAATTATTTTAACTGTTAATAATTTACTTTAGCTTTTTAAACCTTTTATCTGTTATCTTAGGCTAACCAATTGACTTGTGTTTCTGTTACTTTTAGCCAACTATTCAATCCTTTTAGCTAACTATGAGCTAACTATTTTAACCGTTTATTTTAGCCAACTATTCAATCCTTTTAGCTAACTATGAGCTAACTGTTTTAACCGTTTATTTTTACTTTTAGCCGACTATTCAATCCTTTTAGCTAACTATAAGCTAACTATTTTAACCGTTTATTTTAGCCATTTATTCAATCCTTTTAGCTAACTATAAGCTAACTATTTTAACCGTTTATTTTTACTTTTAGCCAACTATTCAATCCTTTTAGCTAACTATAAGCTAACTGTTTTAACCGTTTATTTTTACTTTTAGCCAACTATTCAATCCTTTTAGCTAACTATAAGCTAACTATTTTAACCGTTTATTTTTACTTTTAGCCAATTATTCAATCCTTTTAGCTAACTATAAGCTAACTGTTTTAACCGTTTATTTTAGCCATTTATTCAATCCTTTTAGCTAACTATAAGCTAACTATTTTAACCGTTTATTTTTACTTTTAGCCAACTATTCAATCCTTTTAGCTAACTATAAGCTAACTGTTTTAACCGTTTATTTTTACTTTTAGCCAACTATTCAATCCTTTTAGCTAACTATAAGCTAACTGTTTTAACCGTTTATTTTTACTTTTAGCCAACTATTCAATCCTTTTAGCTAACTATGAGATAACTATTTTAACCGTTTATTTTAGCCAACTATTCAATCCTTTTAGCTAATTATAAGCTAACTATTTGAATGATTATCCGTTACTGTTAGCATACTATTTTACCTATTTGTTTACCTTCAAGCAAAGTAGTTTTACCATTTATTTGTACTTTTATCCAATTATTTAAATTCTCAGCTTACTTGAGACAATTGCATCTGAACTCAATCTGTGTGTAAATGTGATGGCCAATCTGTCTTCTTTCCTTCCTGTCCCGGCATGCTTTTGTTGCCAAAACCAATCATGCCTATGGCATGTTACCAATTTCACAGCCTTAGTTTTAGGCAGATGAATCTAGGCCACTGCAAGACATTCTCCATCTGCTATTCTGTGGCCAAAAGACTTGGGAGGTCAGAGAGAGAGAGAGAGAGAGGGATTAGCCTGGTACACCGGGTCCAGAGCGAGGTGAGATTAAAAGCCAGGAGCAGTAATACACTCATCGTGGAAAAACACACAGAATGACATGTTTCCATACAACCCCCACTCAGACTATAGCGTATATCTCCGTCATTCAACATGTTATTTCCACCAAATTGAAAAAGTAATCAACATTATTTCAGAAATTACATGTTTCGTTTTTTCATTGCTTGCATTACATGCCATATACTTTTGAAAAAACATCCATAACATTCATCTGTTTGCAACTTATATATATCAATATTCCAATTACTTGTATATAGACTATTCTGCACAATTTCTATTATATTCAATTTGATTGTATTTACTTGTATTATATCTGTTTCACTGTGTTGCACTGTTGGAGGAGCCTGTGACCTAAGCATTTCATTGTCATAACTACACTGTTGCTATGCACACATGACAAGAAAAACCTTGAATCTTGATCTGTTTTCAGCCCACATATCTAAAGGCTATATCATTGTAACATTCAGTGTTTTTATTCCACTGTATTTACTGTTATATTCTGTTGTATTTCCTTCAATTTCGCATGCATAGTTTACCTGTTTTTCCACCAAATTGAAAGAATAATCAACATTATTTCAGAGATTGCAAGTTTCATATGATATACATCTGTTTTTAGTGCACATATCTAAAGGCTATATCATTGAAACACCTAGTATTTGTATTACATCATGTTACATTCTGTTGTATTTCCTTCCATTTTGCATGCATAGTTTACTTGTTTTTCCAATTGAATTGCAGTTTTATATCTATTTTTCCTTTTATGTCAAGTATATTGTTCGTTGCATTGTCGGAGGAGATTGGTTTCAAAATGTTCATTGCCAGAACAAAGCCTTAGCTATTGTGCATATGACGCCTTGAATCTAATAATCCACAATAAAAGCATTTTAGTTTCCTGCATCTTACTTGCACCATTATGTTATTGTTATCTCATGTCTTCTTTCTTTTTATGATAATAATATGTTGCATTGTTGGAAGAGCTTAGGACTTAGCTAGCATACATATGATAAGAAAAGCCTTTGAATCTGTTGTCTTTCAATCCTATTCACGCACTTAACTTGGAACACAATGTCCCTGGCTCGTTTTGATTGTATTTCTTTGCAAGTCTTTTGTTGCATTGCTGGAAGACAAAAGATTCCCATTGTAAAAACTCTGTAGCTATTGTGCACATGACAAATAAAGCCTTTGAATCCTGAACCAAGGTCACCAGCTCCTGTCGAGGCGTACATTGACACAGATGTCAAAAAAAAAAAAGGTCATCTATAAAAATATGATTACAGTTTTTTGCAGAACGCAGCAGCTTCGTCGGTGTTTTGTTCTGCAGAGATTTGTGTTCCCTGTCCTCAGCACATCATGCAGTATAAGCTATTAAATCTCAGCTCTGCTAACCGTATCATGTGGAAAAAGCCCTGACCTCAGACTGGGGGTGACTGAGGAGAGGGTGAGGACAGGTGTGACTCAGCAGCACCTGAGCACGATCAAGGGCAACACATCCTTTTATATTGCACTGTATATGTAGTGCATGGGCTTTGGAAGGAAGGCTGTCAACAAGGAGGATTTGGTGAACATCTCAGGGGGGAGATTAGGAAGGAGGGAGTCTTTTCTATGTGTGCATAAAGGGGGAGGGAGATATAGAGAGGACTTCCCAGCATGGGGGAGGGAGGGGGTGAGTTGCCTGGTTCGAAAGGGACTGAAATGTCCTTCATATAAACCGGTGACAAAGTGGTGAGCAGCGGCCACACAGACAGCAGGAGACCGAGCACCGAGCAGCCGCTAGATCCGCAGCGACACACCGGGGAGAAACACCCGAGAGGAAGCAACTCATCCGAAGCATTCATCACAACACCGACAGGTAACAATAATGAATGCACGACGATTTGAACAGTTTTACTCGACAGCTTGTCAGACGTATTATCACATTTTGAATGATCTTTATTAACAGGTGTATACGAGGACAGTGCGTTAGCATAATGTGTTGCTACGGATGAAACAAAAATACCCTAAAGTGCCTTAGAGTCCAATTTAAAACTCATTAATAAGCAACACCAGACTCCATTGGAAAAAGAGGTTTTTTTTTACAACTGCGTGTTTTCTACTTGGTAACATGTTTGCATATACATAAAAGTTCTTATTGCGTTGTAAATAATAACGCTTAAAGAAATTAACGTTATCTTTTTGGAAATAGGAAGAAGTTGCTTTTTTAGTTTTAATTTTCAAGGTTAAGCGAGCTGATTTTTTGGGTGGAATATTGTATACAAAAATACATTTTGAATTACCTCGAAGTAGCATTAGATAGGGTTTAAAACTGGAAGGTGAAAGTAGTGTAATGCACCATTTGTATTTTTATTTATTTAGCGTATATCTCGGATTATTTAATGTATTTGTTATTTTTTTGTTGGAGTTTTTCCTCCTGATTTTGTGAGGTTTATATATTATATACATATGTTTCCATATGTATGACTATATAACTCATAGGATAGTCACGTTATTTGTTCCTGAATATATGAAATGCATCCTTTATCTTTGTTGTGTGACATCTGGACTTCACTGGACTCTTTTATTGATTTTTTTATTGAACTTTTATTCCAGAAATGACGTATTTTCTTCTCGAAAATACATGATTTTCTTACATCTAAGAATTGTGTATTTGTTGTGTTCAATCAGGGCTACATCAGATTATTGTATTTATTTATTTAGCTATTTTTTCAAGTATTTTCTCATGATTTTATAACAGCTAAGAATATTATCTATTTCTCCTTAAATGTCTGAAACACATCCCATATCTTTGTCGTGTAAAATCAAGGCTACACTGGACTATTTCTTATTTGCGGGAATGTGTGACTTCAAGTGTATCTCACAGATATATAACGTTATAACCCCATCATGTGAGTTCTCCTGTAGTGTGTGAAATGTGTCGTATATCCTTGTTGTGTAGATTCAGAGCAACGTGTCCCATTCAGCCAGATTTGTTTAATTCTTGTTATCTAGGCTACACATCGGCCATCCGCTTGTCAGATTAAACAACTACGCATTTGTGCACGGTGCTCCAGTCTCACCTAATTAGACTCAGCCTCTGGGTCACCACATGCAGAGCTCACACGGAGATAAACAGCCTGTAAACCTGAAGACTGAGGCGTGAGAATAACCCAGATTAGGATTTTACATCCAACGTGTTTGTTTTTAAAGTCGTGTACAGGTAGCTACACTACAGTAGGTAGTTCTTCTTTGGATGTCATTTATATGTATTCTATTAAACAGGCCATCATCCCTACATTAATGGGAATGCAGGTTAATAAAAGTAAACTCAATTAACCAAATAATTTATTTTATAGTATGTTTTTTTTCTTTTTATAAAAGCCAAAACTAACATTTCATTTAATTTTTTATTTATTCTTTAACTTTTTTGTCTTTTCTTGTCAACTTCCAGAGGTGGAAAAATTAGTAATACACAAAAAAATACTCACGTTAAAGTTCTGCAATTAAAATGTTGAGTCTCAATTTAACAAAAGTATTGACGTCAAATATACATAAAGTACCAAAGGATACACGTTATTGATTTTTATTATTTGCTAAATATCTGAATCTGTGACTACAGCGGTCAGATAATGCATTAAAATAAAAATACTTAAGTGAAGAACAAGTACCTCAAAATTGTACTTAAATACAGTACTGTAAATGCACTTCAATATTTCAGTCAGGTGAGCATGTTGTTTCTAATCTGCCTCTGTCCATTGTGCTGAACTCTTTTCCAGACCTGTGATTGGCTGTAGAGATGGGTGTCACCTCTCGTCCACTGCTATTGGCTGGAGTTTATCTGTTGGCCGCTCTGATTGGTGGAGCCCACTCAGAGGGGGTGTGTCTTCAAGACGCTAAGCACAAGGCCACGCCCAGTCCAGAGCCCAACCTGACGGAGTGTGGGCTGTACGCTGACAGTGAGTGGATTTACAGAGCCTTTAAGTACTTATACTACTCTGGAAAAGTACTCCATTACAAGTAAAAGTACTGCATTGAGAATGATCGGCTACTTAAGTACATTTATTAACAAAATATTAGATATATTATATAAAAGTAGTCTACTCTAAGCAGAAACATGTAATAACAAATAGTCAATAAAAGTATTAATTAGAAGCAGATCATTTTCAATTTGAGGAGTCTAACTACAAAAATTAAACATTATCAAAATACTTTTTCAGGTGTACTTAAATATAATGTGTGCTAGTTTAATCGACATCATAATATCATTTATTATACAAATATTGTATATGTTATGTGTGTTCAAATCAACATTTCTCATGTAACTAGTATTTAATCTGTCAAATAAATGGAGTAAATTCAAAAGTACTTAAGTGCAGTCCCCTTAAATGTGTATTTTAGTACTTCACTAAATTTACTTAGTAACCTTGAAACACTGCCTGTTTGATGATGTAAAGACACCCTGTGGTGATAATATCAAACTGTATCTCCCGACTGACTGCATGTGTTTCTTGTGGTCGACAGACAGCTGCTGCACCGAAGAAGACATTCCGGACGTCTCCCATGTCCCCTCGGCTCTCAACAAGAACAAACCCTGGGACAAGTGCGGTCCTCTGAGCTCTGAGTGAGTCTCACAGTCTCTGATTAACACTGATTTATGTTAACATCCATCACATCACTACCTGTAAACACACAGAGGATTATGGCGATTGAAAAAACATTGAGATTAAATCTGTCTGTGATCAAGATTAAGATTTATTTATCCCAAATTCATTTATTCACTCTTGTGTTATTCTACTTTACATTGCACACATAGGCCCACAATACACACATGCACAAACAATACTTATACTGTAGAGTGCCACAGTGACGCTTCCTAAATCCCGGAAGTAAGTTAGCATTTAATGTAACCACCAAGGAGCTTACTTCTGGGTTTTAGGATGCGTCACTGTGGCACTCCATACACATGCATAAGTAAAAGGGCTGCAAATGGTTCAGCTACTGGGAGAAGTTGGGGACTCGATGCCTTGCTCAAAGACACCTCATTAGTGCCTAGCAGGAAAACTTTACAGCTACCATTTCGCACTTTGTACATGGTCCGAATGGGAGTTGAACCAATGACCCTTTGCTTTCCAAGACAAGTCCCTACAGACTGAGCTTCGACCGCCAAATATGATATTAGCAGAGCTACACTCCATTGGATAGTGGTTCCTGTAAGGGAAACTTCTGCAGCAATGGAGAGTCAGGACTCAGAGAGACACGAGGAGAGTTGGAGCTTTGATGTCAAACACTGTTAGTTTATTACAAGTCAACGGCCGGAGAATTCATATCACAAGTCACAGCAGCAAAAGGTTCTGACTGCACGGGTGGGTTGTCATGTCAATTCTGCCCAGCCTATCTCTCGATAGACCTTTTAACTAGTTTACAGAGAGTTAATCAGCATATTGGGGGAGGCGTAAACATCTGTGGAGCTACAGGAGATATCCCCCAACTCTGGAGCTTAGAAGCTAGCGTTCTCACACTCACAAAACCTCCCTATGCCCTGTAGGTCAAGCTGTAAAACCTAGTATCAAAATACGACTGCATCAACACATTCCTTACGGAAGATAAGGAGCAGGGCGTACATGTAAACACACAGTAAATGTTAAATATCTTAGGAGTAAGGAATAATTATTATTTGACACTTAGAAAGAGAGAAGAAATATTCTCTAACAGTTCCAATGAAGACAAGCTAATAGAAAGCATATCAAAACTAACATCAACGACTTTTGAGTGGTGCAGTGATGACGTAGCCAACGTTAGCGTTATGCTATAAACATCACGGTCACATGACTTCACGTCACCACCGCTAAGCTAAAGGTGGCTAATGTTGGGCAATAAAGGAACTACAGCACGGTCACATGACTTCACGTCACCACCGCTAAGCTAAAGGTGGCTAATGTTGGGCTATAAAGGAACTACAGCACGGTCACATGACTTCACGTCACCACCGCTAAGCTAAAGGTGGCTAATGTTGGGCAATAAAGGAACTACAGCACGGTCACATGACTTCACGTCACCACCGCTAAGCTAAAGGTGGCTAATGTTGGGCTATAAAGGAACTACAGTACGGTCACATGACTTCACGTCACCACCGCTAAGCTAAAGGTGGCTAATGTTGGGCTATAAAGGAACTACAGTACGGTCACATGACTTCACGTCACCACCACTAAGCTAAAGGCGGCTAATGTTGGGCGTGATGACGTTTAGTTGTCTCATTTAGACACTTGTTAGCAACCGCTTTTTTCAAATCCACCAGGGGGGGATTTACTGACGTGTTTTATGTGGTAGAAAAAAAATCTCTTCAGCTTGTGTTAACCACAGACCTTAAAAAACCCATTGACTTCCAAAAAAGAGAACCCAAATTACCAAAATACTGACTCATTTCCCATTTTTACGACTCATTCCTGCATCATCTTTAACTGCCTTGGGACCATTTCCACTCTGTCACCCCTACCAGGGTCAATGAAGGTTTAAACACTGATGTCATAATGTTAGTACTAACCCCCCTCCCCCTCTTTATCTCTTTAGGTGTGAAGGTTTCCTGAAGCGAGTGTCATGTTTCTACCGCTGCTCTCCGGACGCCGCGCGCTGGCCTCACCCTCAGAGACGCTCCTACATCCAGGCGGTGCCGCTCTGCCACAGCTTCTGCAGGGACTGGTGAGGCTGCCAAAACACATTGGGCTAATTACCCATAGTCCCTAGGTCTAGTCATTCGTTAATGTTAGAAACATCTCACTGGTCCCCGGCTTGATCTTCAATCTCAGGATCCATGTATCTGTGATCCTCTCCAGAATGGAAGTAGTCATCACATACAGAGCATCAACTAGTTCCTGAACAGTGTTCTTCACATGCTGATATCCAAGAGAGGGAGTTACACAGTCACAAGATGGAGGAATAGAAAGCAGTATTCAATGTTTACTTCAGATTAGCTCCACGTCAGAAATGAGCATGCTTGATGTCTATCTCCATAGAGGCTGAATCATCATGTTAATCACATAGCTATCATATGCCTCAAACAGTCCTGATGCTCTTCTAGGTAATCACACATCCTGTCATGTTCACAGCTACAGTTGGGATACCTTTGTTATCACGTTACTCTCAGACTGGAAGAGGACATTCAGTGTTTTCCCAACAGTGCCAAAACACATTTCGAATCACATCTAAATCAAGATCGGTATCTGTCCCGGTTCACCTATAAGCACTGTCAGGAGAGAGATTACCGCACGGTGTAACGGCGTTCTGTGCTCAGACAGAGTGTCCCATTAACAGCATAATGGCTCAGGGAAGGCCAAGGTTACATATAGTCCTGTTTTACAAAGTAGGGTACAACAATGTACAGCAGCAAAGGGGATTCCTGTCAGCATGAGAAACTGTTTCATATCATGGTTGCCTTGTTGCAGGGGTTGTTGTCACCTTTTATACTATATTTGTGTTTACAATGAACACATTTAGGAGCGCTTGAGCAGCCTTGAGTTTGAGATGATTGATACCACTTTTCTGTTGGTACAATAGACTGGTTTTAGATGGGGACTTCATAGTTAGTGTGACGTCATTCATTGGTTTTTAGTGTTGTCTTTTTTTAAGTCTTGAATTTGGCATTTTGTTTATTTAAGTGACAATAGTTGTGTTACCTGGTACAAGCTAAAGCTAGCGCTACCTAGCTAGTATGGTTAGCAAGGTTTAGTCACAAAGACACATACTTAAAACAAAATGTAGATTACTAGCTGAGTCCTTAACATATTTTGTTTGTAGGCTACTACTGAACATGCCTACTTAAAAGTGGGGTAGGTAATTCACTTCAGAAACACTTTGTTATATTCCATGGAATGCTCTTAACATCCGACAGCAATGAATATATTAAATGCTTTGACAATAAATACATACAAAATGTCATCTGTGGAAGCCGTGGCGCTGTAAAAAGCACGACCAATCATCTGAGCCGGCTAAAGTAACTGGATGGCCTACCTGCCTGTCAGCCTTCCATCTGGGCACAAACTTATCTCGTGCCCTCATTGGTCATGTGCGCGTTCGTGTGTGTTGGAGGAGGGGCTCTGTGAGGAAGTGGCAGATTTTTTCCGGTTGTGTATTTTCAAATTCTAGCGCACTCGAGCTGGTTTCTCCAAAATTACCGACCCTACCTTTAAGTTAACAGTGTTAACTAGTTGTTTTTAAACTTTGGTTTTTGTAGGGATTAATCGCGAAGGATATGAAATGTTTACTAAATATGAAATAAAGTGAGATTTAGAGGGGCTGGCAGGTGGATTTTGTTAACCTTGCACGGAGTTCGGCTTGCTTTTGGATGTTTCCAGTCTTTAAGCTAAGCTAACTGTCGCTTAATATTTGGCATATGAACTAATTCTGCATAAAAGCTGCACCCCAGTTCTTTGGTACACAACCGGAATCTCAGGAATACATCTTACAATGAGAGATTTACAGTTGAGTGTTTTGCCATTATTTAATTGAGAGATTTGCTGTGTGTTTCTTCAGGTTTGACGCCTGCAGGATGGACATGACGTGCGCTCGTAACTGGGCCAGAGACCCCCGGGGACAGAACTGCACTGGAACCTGTGTGTCCTATCAGCAGGTGAGCTGTGATTGGTTACTTACATAACATGGACCCTTGTGTTTGTCTTTTGTTGCCATCAGTAGAAATCAGACATTTTGAGTGTTTGTGTGCCACTCGAGCAGCAGCATGGCTTTCTGGGGGATATTTCCATCTCTTCAGCACTTCTAAAAGGTGAAATGGCATTACATGTAGACGAGAAAGTCACGGCCCCCTGAGAATACAAGGCAATTAGTTCAAATGTATCGCACACCTTCTTTTTATGACCATATGCAGGAAGAAGTACTCAGATCTCGTACTTAAGTAAAATAAGAAGTACTCAGATCTCGTACTTGAGTAAAAGTAGAAGTACTCAGATCTTGTACTTGAGTAAAAGTAGAAGTACCCAGATCTTGTACTTGAGTAAAAGTAGAAGTACTCAGATCTTGTACTTGAGTAAAAGTAGAAGTACCCAGATCTTGAGTAAAAGTAGAAGTACTCAGATCTTGTACTTGAGTAAAAATAGAAGTACTCAGATCTTGTACTTGAGTAAAAGTACTCAGATCTTGTACTTGAGTAAAAGTAGAAATACTCAGATCTTGTACTTGAGTAAAAGTAAAAGTACTCAGATCTTGTTTTTGAGTAAAAGTAGAAGTACTCAGATCTTGTACTTGAGTAAAAGTAGAAGTACTCAGATCTTGTTCTTGAGTAAAACTCGAAGTACCAGAGTGTAGGAATACTTTGTTACAGTAAAAGTCCTGCATTCAAAATGTTCCTCAAGTGAAAGTAGGAAAGTATTCTCATCAAAATATAGTGAAAGTAGCGACAGTAAAAGTAGTCGTTGTGCAGATTGGTCCATTTCAGAATAATATATATGATATGTTTTATAATGATTGATCATGAAAGTGTTCTCAAAGCTGGTGAAGGTGCAGCTAGTTTGAATGGCTTTGTATACTGCAGGGTAGCTGGTGGATTTACTCCAGGTGGAACTAAAGTCTGATTCAACACTTGATTAGATTTCACATCATTCATCCAGATCTGTGAAGTAACTAAAGGGATTAAATACATACCTTTAGTTACACCATGTACCTCTGAATGGTGGAGTAGAAGTACACCGTAGCATAAAATGGTATCTAAAAATGATATTTAAGTACTGTACTTGAGTAAATATACTTCCCGGCTCTGACCACATGCTGCAATAAATCAAATCAAATCAAGTTTTATTTATAAAGCACATTTAAAAGCGATTTTCGGTCGAGCCAAAGTAGTGTACATGTAATAAAAACACATTACTACAATCACAATAAAAGACAATAAATTGCAACAGGTATATAAAAAAACACAGGGAAAAGTCAGGAGTCGTGCTCCGCTCTGACTAGAAGGCCAGGGAGAAGAAGTGTGTCTTAAGAGTAGATTTAAAACCCCCAGGGTCTGGGCCGACCTCACATGGAGGGCCAGAGTGTTCCAGAGCCTGGGGCCAGCTGCTGCGAAGGCTCGGTGCCCTCGGGTTTGAGCCTGGTCTTGGGCACTACCAGCAGCAGCTGGTCAGCAGACCTTAAAGCTCTGGCTGGGGTGTAGCGATGGAGGAGTTCAGCTATATGAGCCGGAGCCCATTTAGGGCTTTAAAATCAATTCGGAACCAAATTGGAAGCCAGTGCAGTGAGGCCAGAATTGGGGTGATGTGGTCACGTTTTTTGTGGCCAGTCAGTAGACGATAATAATGACATTTCCACCTGTTGTACTTTATCTAAAGTGTTAATCATAGACTGTATAAAAGAAGTAGTAATTTCTAGGGATGCTCCGATCGCCAATTTCGGCGCCGATCGCCGGAATCGGTATCGGTCGATACCGATCGCCGATCCGATCAAGTGGGCGGGGCCTAAATGGAAGATTTAAACATCACTTTAAATCTTCCATTTAAAGTGATGTTTAAAACTCAGTTAATGGGGCTCATTCACTGGAGCTTCCACAAACAACAATCAACTTAATTATTACATTCAAATGATGTACATTATTCAAGTTTACATTCACTTTGGATAATAACACGGGAGAAATGAGCGGAAGCGCTCTCTTTTCCTCTCTCTCTCTCCTGACAGCCTGTCAGTGTCTCATGCAGCTCACTGATCCAGTAATGAGTGACCCGACAGTGAAGAATACATATATTTATTACTAGTTTAGCTTGTTCCAGAGGTAGATGAAATAGCTAAGTGTGTGAGGTCTAACTCTTGTGTGTTTCGTTCCGCTTACCGGTCCGGCGGGCGGAGCTGCAGGATTTCAGCTTCACACACGTTGCATTCCGCTATTTTACTGTCTTTTTCGGACACCTTAAAATAATGCCAGACCGGTGAAGCCATTCTGGCGAGCTTGTTTTGCCGCACACAGAGAAAAGTGTCATGTATTTTACGTCATGCGATCGGCTCTCGCGATCGGCATGTTTAGAGAGCACCGATCGATCGGTAGAGAGTGAGTATCGGCCGATCTCGATCGGTGACCGATGGATCGGAGCATCCCTAGTAATTTCATTGTTTGAGTGTTTTTGAAATCTTAAGGGGAACATTTTGCCCATCGCCATGTTGTTTTCATTGCATTTCATCATTTACCATTAATGACAAATGTACAAAATGCATATCATGCTGTCGTGCAAAAGGCTTATCAGTAAAAGGTATCTGTAATAAGTCGGTGTTCTTTACGATGCTGTTACAAGTTGTTCACCTGAGCGCTGGCTGCTGGAACAAAGCTGTTTGCTCACCGCTTTATTCCACCCCTCAGGACCTTGATTGATGCATTATGTGAGCGATCACTCCTAAGCTGATATTTTCTCGGGTGTCAGAGGTTTAAATCCCCATTGACAGATCTCAGAGCTTGTCATTGGAGCAGTGTGCAGCGGGTAGAAGGTCAGATACTGTCTCACAGTGAAGGGGAGTGAGTGTGCAGGAGGCAAAGGGTTAACGCGCTGAAGCATGAAACGCTTCGTCCTGCTTCAGTGGACAGAGGCCAGCTGGGGGATTTCAAAAGAGGCAGAGGAGGAAAATAACTGTCACACAATGACACTGTCTATCTATCTATCTATTTTGAAGGCAGCTTCAGACACCAGTTGAAAATATATTTAATGGTAGAAACGCTTTGGTCTAAAAATACTCCATTACAATTTAAAGCACATGTGTCAAACTCAAGGCCCGGGGGCCAAATCAGGCCCTTGGTGGATTTAATTTCGGCCGGCAGGATAATTTCTAATTCCTGTTAGATCTGGCCCGCCGGTATATTGCACGCACACCTTCACTCCATCCTGAGGGTCTCCTCCGCTCAGAGCCTGAGCCCAAACATTGATGACCTTGCACCCAAGATGAGATGCCAAGTATCTGAGCTAGCATCACAGAGCAGCACACTGAGTTTAATGGATGCTTCCTTCTGCACTTTCTCTCAGGACAACAGGGCATGTTTGGTTTTCTCTTTGAGGGGAATAGTTTTCTTGAAGCTGTTGTTGGCCTGTGGGAAAATGTACTCATAAGAAATGACTCTGGAAAAGCTGCAGATAGAGCCATAAGAAATGAATGCACCTGATTATTTAATGTTTAATGTTGTTTTTATAGGCAATAATTTAAGCTTTGTTAGTTCCAGGTTTAATATGTGCAATAAGTTCATTTCAATAAGTTCTGCATTAAACATTGAACCAGTCCGGAGTCCCTCCACTAGTACCCATTTTTTAATTTTGGCCCACTGTGTATTTGAGTTTGACCCCCCTTACAGTCTCAACGTATCATGCATTTCATAAGTAAAAATAACTATGAGTGGTATATAAACATAGTGCAGTAAAAAGTCACAGCAGAGCCGGCCAGCTAACCAATCGGAGCAGACTGGGGTCTGGTTTCAGACAGAGGGTGAAAAGAGGTGCTGCAGCACAGACAGTATGAGAAAAATAAAGAGTTTTTTGAACATTAAAGCATGGAGACATGTAGAGACACTACATGCTGATATACACCTGAACATCAGCAGGAGAGGACTCTTTAAAGTAGAGACACTACATACTGATATACACCTGAACATCAGCAGGAGAGGACTCTTTAAAGTAGAGACAGTACATACTGATATACACCTGAACATCAGCAGGAGAGGACTCTTTAAAGTAGAGACACTACATACTGATATACACCTGAACATCAGCAGGAGAGGACTCTTTAAAGTAGAGACACTACAAACAGATATACACCTGAACATCAGCAGGAGAGGACTCTTTAAAGTAGAGACACTACATACTGATATACACCTGAACATCAGCAGGAGAGGACTCTTTAAAGTAGAGACACTACATACTGATATACACCTGAACATCAGCAGGAGAGGACTCTTTAAAGTAGAGACACTACATACTTATATAGCCACCTGAACATCAGCAGGAGAGGGACTCTTTAAAGTAGAGACACTACAATCTGATAATACAAACCTGAAACATCAGCAGGAGAAGGACTCTTTAAAGTAGAGACACCTACATACTGATATACACCTGAACATCAGCAGGAGAGGCACTCTTTAAAGTAAGAGCACTACCTACTGATATACACCTGAACTCAGCAGCAGAGACTCCTTAAAAAGTACAAAAGTAATGTCAACATAGTACTTGAGTTATATTCCGGCAGCCGTAATTTCATTTGTAAAAGCCTCTAGAAACGCAGAATTGAAAGAAGATTTACATTAAATGATTATAATCCATAAATTCCCCTACGATTTGAGAAATCCTCATTAAAACCTTTTTAAAATCCTGAACTCATGAATAGTTCACCCTAAAGATAGGAACAGAAACGCAGGTGCCTGTAGAAATAAAAATATGCAAACCGATACCGGGGAGGAATCTGTGAATGCTTGACTGCCGTAGGTTGAAACAAGCTAATGCATTCCAACACCACACACACACACACACACATTCACACACACACCCCACACACACACACACACACACACACACACACACACACACACACACACACACACACACACACACACACACACACACACACACACACACACACACACACACACACACACACACACACACACACAAATCCCTCTGGCACTGCGTCTCTCTCTGTCTTTGTACTCGATGGTAACATTATTTGCAAGCCAAGGTCTGATTCATCTCAGCGTTAGACGCGCTTTGTGCTCAGGGTTTTGAGGGAATGAATGCACAGAGCGGCCATGGAGGTTACACTGAAAGAGCTTTTTAAATTAACATGTGTGTCAAACGTCATCACACCCAACATTAGCACAGGTGACTAAAAGAGCCATCTCCTTTCAAAGTAGCTGTTTGTCATTTTACCATGAATTTCCAAAGCAATGTCAGGCATTGAAGCCACTAAACATGACATTAGGTCTTATTTCCACATATTCTTATAGAAAATGTCAGAAAATTCACTTTTAAGCCGCTAAAATTATGAAGAATCCTACTTTTTTCTGTTTTATGTCATTTGAATATAAATACATGACAATTTGTTCTATTTCCATTCCTTCTTTAGCACAAAAATAGCAGAGAATGCAGTTTCTTTAAGCCTCTAAAATGATGACAAATCCTACTTTTTACAGTTTTATATCATATGAAAGTAAATGTGTGACCATACATGACAGTATGTCTTTAAAGATTGCATAACATGCTGTTTTTGTCCTCTCAAATATAGACAATTCCTTATTTTTCTTTCTACTTTACTGCTGGTTTATATACATATTTGGGGATTTCAGAGGGATAGGACAAGACATTCAAAGACCTAAATCTCCCTGTACTTTAAGGAACAGTTTTCAAAATGTTCTGCCAAACTAAGTGATGAGTTGATTTAGTAATCAGCATTAATTAATCAACAATTAAAATACTTACTCAGTATATCATAGCTGAACATCTGGGTAATTACAGATCCACTCTCAGGAAATCGACTATTTGTAATATTCTTATTTTGACCCCAGGCGACATGAGTCATTGCAATAGACTTTGATATAAATACATTTATTGTCAGTGTCCTCTCTGGTTTCTGTTTCCCTGTCGCACCGGCTCGTATGCGTCAGGTTTCGGAACACAGAGGCGTGGAATTGAATCAGATAAAGATGGAAAGGACAAGATAGAGCCGCAGGAAATTTCAGCCTCTCACTTATTCGATCACACCCTGTCATTAGCCTGTTACGGTTTGCTGCCAAAGCTAATTCTTGTGTGTGTGTGTGTGTGTGTGTGTGTGTGTGTGTGTGTGTGTGTGTGTGTGTGTGTGTGTGTGTGTGTGTGTGTGTGTGTGTGTGTGTGTGTGTGTGTGTGTGTGTGTGTGTGTGTGTGTGTGTGTGGTGTGTGTGTGTGTGTGTGTGTGTGTGTGTGTGTGTGTGTGTGTGTGTGTGTGTGTGTGTGTGTGTGTGTGTGTGTGTGTGTGTGTGTGTGTGTGTGTGTGTGTGTGTTGTGTGTTGTGTGTGTGTGTGTGTGTGTGGTGTGTGTGTGTGTGTGTGTGTGTGTGTGTGTGTGGATAGAGGGAAGCAGACGTTAGGAAGGGGGAGTTACAGAGAAACACTGAATAAGAGAGATAAATAAATAGTAAGTGCAGGAAAATAAATATTTAGTGGAAGTTAAGGGGACAAAATGAGCAGGAAACAGAATCAGGTTCATAGTACACATAGGTGGAATTTGCTTCGGTGCATACATAAACAAAGTGAGAACTTTTATACAATTAAAAAACAAAAATAAATGTTAACAAGAAGTATAAATAGACAAAAAAGAAAGTGCAATAAAAATAGGATAAATTACTTAACAAATGTAATTAGAGATGTTCCGATCAAATGATCGGAATCGGATCGGGAGCAAAAAAAGGTGATCGGGACATCCCTAAATGTAATAATATATGTGCAGTTTACTTGAATATTTATATTAAATCGTAAATAATACTTCTACTCAATTCCATTTTGAAATGAAAGTATTGTGGTTTTGCTGCACTGCATTTAATTGCACACTTATACTCAGAGGTGGGAGAAGTACTCAGATGTTGTACTTGAGTAAAAGTAGAAGTACTCAGATGTTGTACTTGAGTAAAAGTAGAAGTACTCAGATGTTGTACTTGAGTAAAAGTAGAAATACTCAGATGTTGTACTTGAGTAAAAGTAGAAGTACTCGGATCTTGTACTTGAGTAAAAGTAGAAGTACTCAGATCTTGTACTTGAGTGAAAGTAGATGTACTCAGATCTTGTTCTTGAGTAAAAGTAGAAGTACTCAGATGTTGTACTTGAGTAAAAGTAGAAGTACTCAGATCTTGTACTTGAGTGAAAGTAGATGTACTCAGAACTTGTACTTTAATAAAAGTAGAAGTACTCAGATGTTGTACTTGAGTAAAAGTAGAAGTACTCAGATGTTGTACTTGAGTAAAAGTAGAAGTACTCAGATGTTGTACTTGAGTAAAAGTAGAAGTACTCGGATCTTGGACTTGAGTAAAAGTAGAAGTACTCAGATCTTGTACTTGAGTGAAAGTAGATGTACTCAGATCTTGTTCTTGAGTAAAAGTAGAAGTACTCAGATCTTGTACTTGAGTAAAAGTAGAAGTACTCAGATCTTGTACTTGAGTGAAAGTAGATGTACTCAGATCTTGTTCTTGAGTAAAAGTAGAAGTACTCAGATCTTGTACTTGAGTAAAAGTAGAAGTACTCAGATCTTGTACTTGAGTGAAAGTAGATGTACTCAGATCTTGTTCTTGAGTAAAAGTAGAAGTACTCAGATCTTGTACTTGAGTAAAAGTAGAAGTACTCAGATCTTGTACTTGAGTAAAAGTAGAAGCACTCAGATCTTGTACTTGAGTAAAAGTAGAAGTACTCAGATCTTGTACTTGAGTAAAAGTAGAAGTACTCAGATCTTGGTATTACATACATGTAGTGGAGTAAAAGTACAAAGTAGCATAAAATGAATATACTCAAGTAAAGTACAAGTATCTCAAAAATTGTACTTAAGTACAGTACTCGAGTAAATGTACTTACTGTTACTTTATACCTCTGCTTGTACTGTAGTTATGTTTACATATAAAACACATGATATGCTGATGATATGATACAGTACCCTAGTACTAATCAGCTTTTAAAAGTGGAATAGAAAATGTGCAGTATATGAGAATGTCAAAGTGCAGAGACAGTGACTTAATGACTGCTCATGAGGCTGTCACTAGGTAAAGAAAAAGGAGCTTAACACTCAAAACTTCAGTGTGTGTGTCACTGAAACTTCACGAATGAGCTTCCTCAACTTTGTAGTCTTCTACGATATTCACAGCTGCAGCTCGAATGTTGAATTGTGATTTGTTTTCTGCAGCGTTGTGCCATATCCCTTGTAATCCCCATACTTGTCTTATTAGACAGGGGAATTTGTCACGCTCCAGAAACTGTAGCGCTAATGTCAGCGGTAATTGAAGTTTGTCCTCAAAGTAAAACTTCATAAGGACTTCTGTGAATATCCGTCAGATAGCAACACAAAGGAGGCTGAGCGTGACCTTTCCGATTAGTTCAGTCTGTCTTGCCAGATTTGTTGTTCTACCGTAAAAACGACACAAAGATGTCTTTCAGATACCAGTGTGTGATGTCCAAGGTCATTGTGTGTTATAATGTCCTCTCGAGGCCGAGGAGAGGCACAAAAGCAGCTGCCAGGTGCCGGCAGGCCGCTCTAACACCTGGCAGAGGGCCGTCTGAAATAGGCCAGAGTTAATGGAGTGGTGTGGTCCTAAACCTGGAAGAGAGTTAGAATTTTAGCTATTCCAGGTTCGCTACTCTTAAATTCAATGGTTTTATTAATTCGTTTTCTGTTGTAAGCGTGAAATAAGGTCTGTGGTTAACACAAGCTGAAGAGATTTTACCGTTTTTTTCTACGACATAAAATACATCAGTAAATACCCCACTGGTGATTTTAAAAACAGGTTGCTAAGTGTCTAAATGAGACGACTAAACGCCATCACGCCCAATATTAGCCGCCTTTAGCTTAGCGGTGGTGACATGAAGTCATGTGACCCTGCTGTAGTTCCTTTATAGCCCAACATTAGCCGCCTTTAGCTTAGCGGTGGTGACGTGAAGTCATGTGACCGTGCTGTAGTTCCTTTATAGCCCACCATTAGCCACCTTTAGCTTAGCGGTGGTGACGTGAAGTCATGTGACCGTGCTGTAGTTCCTTTATAGCCCAACATTAGCCGCCTTTAGCTTAGCGGTGTTGACGTGAAGTCATGTGACCGTGCTGTAGTTCCTCTATAGCCCAACTATAGCCGCCTTTAGCTTAGCGGTGGTAACGTGAAGTCATGTGACCGTGCTGTAGTTCCTTTATAGCCCAACATTAGCCACCGTTAGCTTAGCGGTGGTGAAGTCATGTGACCGTGCTGTAGTTCCTTTATAGCCCAACATTAGCCGCCTTTAGCTTAGCGGTGGTAACGTGAAGTCATGTGACCGTGCTGTAGTTCCTTTATAGCCCAACATTAGCCACCGTTAGATTAGCGGTGGTGACGTGAAGTCATGTGACCGTGCTGTAGTTCCTTTTATAGCTCAACATTAGCCACCTTTAGCTTAGCGGTGGTGACGTGAAGTCATGTGACCGTGCTGTAGTTCCTTTATAGCCCAACATTAGCCACCTTTAGCTTAGCGGTGGTGACGTGAAGTCATGTGAACGTGCTGTAGTTCCTTTATAGTCTAATGGTAGCTTTTTAATTCAAAAATCATAAAGTGGTGTTAATATGTGGAGATTATCCTGCTGAACAAAATGTGTAATTAACGTGTTTGCCACAGAGTTTATTTTCTGCAATAATCCTAAAGCCATTTCAGGTTAACAACCAAAAACACATTAAGAAAACCTTTGACTTCCACACAAGATAAGCGGAAGCTAACTCATTTCCACGTTTAAAAAATAATTTCTGCACAAGTCCATGATAGCCATTCCTTCGTTGGATGATGTTACATTGTCTTCACTTCCAATTAATATATCCTTTGTGTTTCTTTGCATATAGATGTACCAGCACGGCAGGGACCTGTGTGAGAGTCTTTGGGGCGACGCCTTCCTGTCGGTGGAGGACGAGCCTGAAGACGCAGGAGAAACTGGAGGTGAAGGTGAAGGAGGGCGTCCGTGCGGCTGCCTGACCCTCAGCCCCTCAGATAAAGATGTGATGGCCGCCCTCAGGGCTCAGCAGGATGACCCAGAGGAGCTGGACACCACCAAGACGGGCCTGCCTCAGTACCGCGCCCCGTGCCAGACCAAGCTGCCCCCCCAGGCCCGAGGGAACAGGAAGGGGAACTCGGTGCTGCGCAAACGCTCACTGGTGGTCGACGACGTGGAGGGGAGTGGGAGCGGCTTGTAGAGAAAGAGATAGAGATATATATATATATATATATATAGGGATTACTGTGTATAGATCTGTCTCTAGAAAATGGAGTCGCTCCTCTAACTAACTCATAGACACACACTGTCCTCATCGTTCTACATGTAATCTATGGTTTTAAATAACATCTGGTGTAGGATAGACACTAACAACCAGGATTCTCAGCCAGGATTTAAAACCATTAAAGGTGCGTTCACACCGGATGCTAAGCTAATATTGGCATCGCTTTGACCATTTGTGTTTACTAACGTCACTCAAACTAGACGCAGTGGCGAGGAGGCAGGGCTTATCTCCAGCTAGCCACCCACAAAAACAAGATAAAGATACATACGTAATACACATATCAAAGAGATGTAACTACATACTGATACCGATTAGTAAAAACCATGAATTAATGCTTTGGCTTTTATTTAAATGCTTCACCAATTCACCATGCCATAGACGTTAATAAACACTGATATTTGTCCAGTTTCTGAACAGATATGAGGAGCTGTGATCTCTGTGGGCTAACGTTTTGGTTTTCTGATTCAACGTCAGTGATGACAGGCGGAGATTCTCAACGCTGATTGGCTTTTTGCAAGTTGGAAAAATTGAATTATACCCGCTAGTAAATTGCACACGGGGGGTGCTAGTGATTTATCCGACCGGCCCACATCGACAGACCGACCCACTTCAGTACCGACCCCAAAACTGCACTTTGCGTCCGGTGTGTACGCACCACAAAGGCTGATTTAAAGGCAAAATCCTGCAAGGGCTCTCACTTCGAAAAGTAATATATTGATAACATCCCATTATAGCTAACCCTAGCCCTGAGAAAATGAGGATTTTATCGTTCAAAAGTCAGGTATTTTATCAGCTCTGCTCAGTTCATGATGCACACGGGAAGTCGTACAGTATTAGTGCATGACTCAAACGCCATTACCCAGAAGGCTTTACACTACAGTATTGTAAACATTACTCATCTCCCTGCTACTCTTTTCATCATCTAGGTGACTTTAATGTGCACTAGTCAAATGTTAAATGCAGATGTGTTGTGATGCTGTATCGTGTGGTCTACATGTCATAGTGTAAGAAAAGGTAATGATAATAATGAATGTAGCTTCTAACTCAATCTGGCCTGAGCGTAAAGGGATCTGGAACGATAATGACTACGGAGAGTTGATACCTGAGGGTCGGTTTAATATCCAGAGTGAATCCGCAGCGGCAGGATAGGTTGTCGTATATCACCCGTGTACTGTGGATGTCTTCTTTTTTTTATTACTTCATGTATATCTAGAGCGAGGCACTGTTAGATGTAAATGTTTTGTAAAATAAAAAGGGATTTTTGGTTTTATGGACTGAAACCGGTGTTTCCGTGCTTTACGTTCTCAATAAAGACAATATTTCTAAATGCCAAACCTGAGTCTGTCATCGTTCTTAAGGGCTGCAAAACAATAAGATTTGATGCATTGAAGGAGATTTATCCTAGAATTCATGATCTCTGAAGGACCAGATCTTAAATGTAGGACTATTTGGGATTAGGTTTACAGATCAGGTGTTATGTAAGACTATTTAAATAACGTTTTACTGTAAGAGGAACATAACATAATCAATTTAAGAGGTCAAATTAAACCAGCATATTTGTCAATATCACTATTTGGTTATATAAACAAACCAAATTGAGGTGTTCGAGTCCTAATCTTCCAAACAGCTGTTTTCAGTGAGAACATGTCCAATATTTAAGCTTTCTAAACTAATATTTACACTGTTTTCCATTACTTTTGCAAATGTTTTTAACTATTCATCCATTACTTTTACGTTACGGGTTAATCCCCTCCTTTTAGCAAACTATTCAGTGTTTATCCATTGCTTTAAGCTAACTATGCTAACTTTTGGCATCTTTTATCAAACTATTTTAACCATCCATCCATTACACTCCATGTTTTACTCTATAACACTATGTAAATACATTATATAATACATTTAAAACCAATATACAATCTCGCTAGTGGTAGCTTTTTGCAGTTCCAGACCATTTCAAGGTTCAAGGTTCTTTATTTTGTCATACGAACATAGCTACAGTAGTTATGCCGATGAAATTCTTAGGTCACAGGCTTCTCCAACAGAGCAACACAATAACAGATAAACAGACAAATATAGTGCAAGTCAATATTAAACACAAAATAAAAATAGTTTAAAAAAGTGAAATAGTGCAATAAGAGTCTATATGCAAGTTATTTGAATGATATATTAGATTATAGATAAATAATGTTTAAAGGTCACATGTCATGGCCATTTCCACTGATCATAATTCCATTGTTGAGGTCTACTAGAATAGATTTACATTGTTCAATGTTCCAAACTCACATCGGTTTCACATACAGCATCTCTGTAAAGTATGTGTATTCAGCAGTATTCACTCTCTCCACTAAACGGCTCGTTGCAGCTCTTGCCCCCCCCCCCCCCTCCCTGTGAGTCCAGTGTGCTCCGATTGGTCGGGACCAGTCGGGACGTTGTGAATCGCGCTGAGCTCCGTGGAGGTGTGATTTCCTTGTTTAGCGATACACAGCGAAACACAGCTGAGCACACACAAAGTCACAGCCGAAGTAAAAACAATAAGTGTGGCTTGATATTGAGTAAGAAAAAGGTTGATACACGCTGTGAGAATGGGTCTGCAGAGAGAATGGGTCTGCAGAGAGAATGGGTCTGCAGAGAGAATGGGTCTGCAGAGAGAATGGGTCTGCAGAGAGAACGGGTCTGCAGAGAGAATGGGTCTGCAGAGAGAACGGGTCTGCAGAGAGAATGGGTCTGCAGAGAGAACGGGTCTGCAGAGAGAATGGGTCTGTAGAGAGAACGGGTCTGCAGAGAGAACGGGTCTGCAGAGAGAACGGGTCTGCAGAGAGAACGGGTCTGCAGAGATAACGGGTCTGCAGAGAGAATGGGTCTGCAGAGAGAATGGGTCTGCAGAGAGAATGGGTCTGCAGAGAGAACGGGTCTGCAGAGAGAATGGGTCTGCAGAGAGAATGGGTCTGCAGAGAGAACGGGTCTGCAGAGAGAATGGGTCTGCAGAGAGAATGGGTCTGCGGAGATAATGGGTCTGCGGAGAGAATGGGTCTGCGGAGAGAATGGGTCTGCGGAGAGAATGGGTCTGCGGAGAGAACGGGTCTGTAGAGAGAATGGGTCTGCAGAGAGAATGGGTCTGCAGAGAGAATGGGTCTGCGGAGATAATGGGTCTGCGGAGAGAATGGGTCTGCGGAGAGAATGGGTCTGCGGAGAGAATGGGTCTGCGGAGAGAATGGGTCTGTAGAGAGAATGGGTCTGCAGAGAGAATGGGTCTGCAGAGAGAATGGGTCTGCAGAGAGAATGGGTCTGCAGAGAGAATGGGTCTGCGGAGAGAATGGGTCTGCGGAGAGAATGGGTCTGCGGAGAGAATGGGTCTGCAGAGAGAATGGGTCTGAAGAGAGAATGGGTCTGCAGAGAGAATGGGTCTGTAGAGAGAATGGGTCTGCAGAGAGAATGGGTCTGCAGAGAGAATGGGTCTGCAGAGAGAATGGGTCTGCAGAGAGAATGGGTCTGTGGAGAGAATGGGTCTGCGGAGAGAATGGGTCTGCAGAGAGAATTTCGCCGCGATCCCAACTGTCTGTTATCAGCCTGCAGCAGGGAGGAGAAATCAGCAGAGCTGCCTGCACTGAGTGTGTGAGGAAGTCCGTGGGTTGGTCAATTTGGACCAATCAGCGGGGACTTAACGTAACGGCTCCGCGGACGTAACGTAACGGCTCCACGGATTGGTCCATTTCGTTCCGGGGACGACATGACATCATGCGTACCCGGAAGAATCAAAAGGACAATGACGTATCTCCAACGAGGCGTTTTGGGGAGGTATTTTCTGTGTTAGAGTTTTACTCGCTACAGGGTGTACTTTGAGGGTTTTGACTCTGCACACCATTTACATGCATACAAACCTTCATAACACACAAGGGGACGGGTAATAACCGGAAAAGCATGACATGTCACCTGTCATGTAGCCAGTGGCGTTTTTATATGTACAAAAGTGGTGGGGCACAAAAAACGTAGATGTCTATATATAAGCTTCTGCAGTGAGGTTCATGGCTGGTGAGGCACTGGCACTGACTCTTCAGGTTTATAAATATTATATTTTGACCTAAATAAAAATATAATATTATTTTCAAAAGCTTTTTTTTATCTGATGCTTCAATTAATTTTAAACAGACAGTTCAACAAAAGGATACCCAAAAGATGTAATTGTATCATTTAAATATTTAATTGTTCTCTCTTAGTAAGATCCCATTTTCAATAAATTGCAGTCTTACCTTGACTTGAAGATGAAGTCCATTTGCCTATCCTTCTGGACAAAAATCTCTATTACTTTTTTGTAAAAGTCCTTATCTTCTTGTAGTTTCAAAAGTCTATCATAAATCTAATCTAATCAATAGATTTATGATTCGAAAATTATAAAAGTAGGGTAGACATGTGGATATTATCCGGCTGAACAAAACGTGCATTTATCTAACAGGTTTGTTTCCCACAGATCTTATTTTGAGCTATTTTCTAAATTCCTATGGAGAAATATCATTGCTTTTTTGTCGAGGGAAGCCATGCGCAGTTTACTTCCGGGTTTTAGGGTGCGTCACTGCAGCTCTCTCGTCTCCTCTTCACACACCACACTTTTCGCGGCACACGTACTTACAGCCAATCAGCTCTGAATTATGTGAGATGACGTATGGTGGGGATGGCAGCACTATAGAGAGGCGAAGTCCCTCCCCTTCCGAAAGCCTCCATGGGACCCCGGAAGCGGAAAATTATACATTGAAGTCAATGGAGAGAGAAAGGTTATCTTTTGATCCCGTTTGAATTGTGCCACGAATGACACATATGATGTTTGTCAATTTAAAAGAACATTTTGCAAGTCAAAAAAATAAAAATGTGTCGTAAAACTGTGAAGTTACACATTTTTTCGTGTGAAACCGCTCAGTGAACTACAGGTCTCTCGTCTCGCACAATACGCGTCACCAACATAAAGATGGCCGTCACGTTAGCACATTTCACCACATTCTTTCAGAATGAGAATAAAAGTATTTTACGAGGTGAAAATCACTACAAGTCTGGGCACGTTGAGAGCTGTACCTATATGAAAGGGGAGTTAGTCGGTTCTGTAAGAGCCAGCATGCGGGACCGGCTTTACAAGGTTTCGGTGAGTAATATGAGTGCAATGTGTAACGTTAATGTCAGCTAGCTAACATTAGCTAACAAGGTACACTAACGTGTTTTGTTTTAGCAACTAGTTTTCTCCTTAAGAACTTCGTGGTCTCTGTGTATGTTGTGGATAACATTAGTGTTCACAAGAACAAGGTACATTCCCGTGTTTTGTTTTAGTTGCTCTTCAGATTGAAGCAGCCAGTTTTATATCGACTATACTGTATGTGTGATCTCCTTTTTCTCGTTGTGTCATTTGAGTTTATTTGCTGTGTGTAGATTCAAGGATTTTGGTTATCTAGGCACAGCTGTGTGTGACTCCCTCTGGTACACTGGTATGTGTTTTCCTAATGTAGAGAGCATTGATTAATTAATAAACTACACACTGAGTCTAGATCCTGACCAAATCCTTTTTTATTGTTGATCAAATGTTTTTCAAAAATGTATTCATACACATTTAGAAAAATACAATGTACAATCACAACCAATACAACACAAATTACAAAAAATACAGAAAAAACAAACAATAACAACAGACAAGAGGACAAAACTATGGACAAATAAACCCTCCCACCCCCAGATCCGGACCATCCTTGTATTATTGCTCATTCAATCTATTATAGCATGCTAACAAATGGTACTTACTTTATTTTTACAGATCTGCATGGGAGACGATGGCGCGATGCAGAGCGCTGTCTGTGATTGTGCACAGGAGATGTACAAATGCAGCCACGCTGCAGCATTGGCAATATTTGCCATGTGGCAGATCAGCTCCACAGATGTTGAGTGCCAGTGGAGGAAGCCTGGCACTTCCAAAGTAGTCCAGCCGGTGTCTCAACTTTACCAACAGCGAGAGGAGACATACAACCCACTGGCCAGAGACATCGCCAACTGTCAACTGGGGGGTTGTAAACGAGGCCGAAGGGGTGAAGGCTTTTGTGGAGGCCTATCAAGTGACAGTGTTCGAATCGAGTCTGGTCTCTTTGTGAGTGAGTCGGGTGTTCTGGGAGCATCACCCGATGGACTTGTGCAGCCATCTGCCCTGCTGGAGGTGAAGTGTCCACACAGCCAGAGGAACATGACCATCGCGGAGGCAGTCAAGTTACCATCCTTCTGTCTCCGTGAGGAGGGTGGGTCATATATTCTCAAGGAGAATCACCCATACTGGCACCAGGTCCAAGGGCAGCTGCATATCACAGACCGG